GTCGACTGTTGACATTTTTTCTTTTGACCAGTGTCTCTTAAGTTTAGTTGTGCCGTGTCCAAGGGAAGGTGACGTGTTCTGTAGAACTCCTGTGTAGATTATGTTTTCCTTTCTGGCCCGAGGGCCACAGGCCCGGATAACAACGAAGAGGCGTCTTTCAAAGGTACCCAGGGAAATCCGGTGGGAAGAGGCCCTTGGGAACTGTGACAAGCGTGCTCCTGGGCAGAAGGGAAGCCTGAAAGTGGTGCACAAGGAAGTCACCTCAGATAACAACGAAGAGGCATCTTTCAAAGGTACCCAGGGAAATCCGGTGGGAAGAGGCCCTTGGGAACTGTGACAAGCGTGCTCCTGGGCGGAAGGGAAGCCTGAAAGTGGTGCACAAGGAAGTCACCTCAGATAACAACGAAGAGGTGTCTTTCAAAGGTACCCAGGGAAATCCGGTGGGAAGAGGCCCTTGGGAACTGTGACAACCTATGGGATAGGAAGATAAAATACAGCACAGTTTAAAATTAGGAAAGATGTGCATCAAAGTTGTATCCTTTATCTATGCTCATTTAATTTGTATACTGATCAAATTATTTGAGAAGCTGTACTCTTTGAAGAAGAATGTGGTATCAGGATTGATGGAAGACTCATCAATAATCCTAAGTTATACAGATGACACAACTTTGCTTACTGAAAAAAAGCAGAACGTTACACATTTGTTGCAAAAAGTTAAGCACTTCAGCCTTAAATATGGATTGCATCTCAACAATATCAACATAAATCCTTGCCAAAGGACCTATTGGCAACATCATGATGGATGAAGAAAGGATTGAGACTATCAACAACTTCATGTTACCTGGCTCCACAGGTAGTCAGGAGGTCAGGAGGTCAGGAGAGATTTCGTACTGAGAAAGTCTGTAATCAAATACTCATCCAAATTACTGATGAGTAATGATGCGAGTTTGAAGATCAAGGTGTGCCTTATTCAGTCCCTAGTCTTTTCAGTCACTTGCTATGCATCTCAGAGCTGGACCATGAATAAGGACAACAGAAGAAGAATTGATGGCTTTGAACTGCATGTGGTGATGGAAAATAATGGTGAATATCCCATGGATTGCCTAAAGAATAACAAGATAAATCTTCTAGAAGGTACAGCTAGAGTGCTCCTTTCAGACAAAGATGATGAAGCTTCATCTCACATACTTTGGGCATATTTCTAGGAGAAGTTATTCTTTGGAAAGGGACATAATTTTTTGAAATGTGAAGGAATGGTGAAAGAGAAGAATAATACTCTCAAGCAGGCAGATTGACACAGTGATTACAATAATGATCTTGAATGTGTCAGAGATTATGAAGATGGCACAGAATGGGATAGTGTTCATATAGAGTCACTATGAGTCATACTCAATTCAATGATACCTAACAACAATAACCACAACACCAATTGGGAGAAATTAATGAAGTGCCATAAGCTATCAAATTGGAACACAGGGCATGGTAAGAAGTCAAAAGAGTCAAAAGAGAAGAATAGCTAACTCTAGGTAAAAAACAAACAAACAAACAAACAAAAAACTCAAGTCTCACAGACTTTGGACACATGGACAGGAGGGACTGGTCATTGGAGAAGGACATAATGCTTGGAAAGATGGAAGGACAGCACAGGAAAGGAAGACCCCAGATAAGTTGGGTTGATACAATAACTAGGGCATTGGGAATAGGTGTGTGGGAGTCAGTGAGACTGACTCAGGACAGGACAGGCTTCAGAGCTGTTGGATATAGGGTAGTTATGAGTCGCAGGTGACTCAATGTCACATAACAACAACAAGCAAAAAAAATATAGATACCTACTTGAATGAAGCAATATTTTGTTTGAGTATTTAAAAAGCAAGCTAGGAAAAACAAAACATCTCAGACTTGGTAACCTAGAAGATCATGACGAAATTGTAAGTACTTTGGAAAACTGGTTTATTTAGGAATGACCTTAAATAAAATATAATGCTGGTACAATATATGATTCTAGGAATTCAAGATTTGACTCTGAATGTGTCTTCCTTTCACATGCCTGTAATAGAGTCACTTCATATTAGAGCAACATGACTTTTCAGTTATAATACGATTAAACAGATATAGATTTGAGCTCAGTGTCCTAATTACTGTTATCAGCTTTGTTCCTAAAAAGGTTTTCCTTACTAAGTTAAAAATTAAATGAGACCCCATCCTTTAGGGATGATTTGTTTCAAAGGCCTTGTAATATGGTGTTGTAGTTAGTTGCCATCTAGTTGAGTATGACTTTGATATAAGAGGGGACATTATCCTCTATCTTCTTCGAAATTTTAATGATGTAAAAAAAGAGCCTATGACTTAGTCTCATAGTTGCTTATTTGAAAAAGGTAAATTAATATTTAAATAAGTACCTACAATACCCCCTCCAAAAGAAATAAAACTCAGTATTAATATTAAAAACCACAACCTTTTTACGGTTCGTATTTGTTCATTGGTAAGTTTGGAGGAAAAATTACTAATATGGAGAGCCTCGTGTATAATTCTTAGATAAACACACTCTGGATGTCTGACATTAGTATGTTGTCTCACTTATTGAGTCATTTCACAGATGAAAAATATATAGATGCCTGCTTATCTAAAGCCATAGACTGGTAATTAATAAAATTATAATTGATAATGAAGTTATTATAATATAGTTAGAAGTTCTGGAACTCTATTTGAATAACATGTTGTTTTATTTTGATAGACTTGGAGGATGGTCTTTTGGAATGCAAATGCCTGATGAAGTTGAAAATGCAAATCCAAATATCTCAAAATCAAAAACTCTAGCAAAGGTATCAGCTTTATTTATTAATTTATCCTGTTTTATGATTGTTTTAGAAAATTCAGTAATCAAATATCTATTTGAGACATGGGAGAGACCACTTCAAGTTCTAGTGTTTGTTACTGTGAAATATGAATACTTATATGTAATATACTAGATTGTAAATGAAAATATACATTTTGTCTGTTCATCTGTTTGTTGATATTTTCTCCCAAAAATCTATGCATAACTGATTAAATGAGGAAGCAGAAGAGAGAAAGGAAAGAGGGAGAAAAAAAGAAAAGTAGGGAAGTTTTAGCTACAAATGAGAACAGTCTCTGAGGTTGACAGGCAGGGGCAGGAGGGTAAAGGGAAAGAACAGAGATTCGTAAAGGGATGGTTAAGGTCACAATAAAGGGAGAGGGCATTGAGGTTTAGATAGACCACTGTAAATAATGGCATTAAACAATTGTAAGTAGTGTTCCGAATTGTAATGTATATTAAATATTGAATGAAGACCAAATAATAAAAAAGAATAGTTGTAGAAAAAATTATTTTCCCCTCATAATGCACGTATTTTTGTTGTAGTAAATAGGTTATTGCTTGATATTAAGGTATATATTAACCTAATAGATCAAAAAGAATTAAAAATATACTAAATTTTTTAAGACACCCATAATGTGGGTGAATAGAAATATTGCCACTTTCCTTTGCAGCCAAGGAATTCTTCCTTACATAAAATTAAAGATCTCATCTCTTAGAATAAATAGGTTCAATCCTATCATGCTGACAGCAATGATTGCTCAGCACTGCTCTGAGAAGCTTTAAATTTTCCAGCTTAACCAGTACTATCCTGTTGTTGTTTTGTTGTTGTGTATTGTAGAGTTGGAACCAACCCACAGTTGATCCTCTGGTGAGTTTTCAGAGGCAGTTCATTGCACAGGAGGAGACTGCTCATTTGTTTACCTTGGAGTAGCTGGTAGATTAGAACCACATGCCCATGGTATTATAGCACAGCTTCTTGCCACGAGAGCTCACTCTACTATCCTGTAGGGATGATAAATCACAGAGGTTTCTTCAGATGTGATGAAAGAGGATTGAGAATTAAGACACTTCACCCACCAGTAGGAATGGAGAAGTAGTGAATACTGAAGATTTTCTAAGGAAAAAGTAAATAAAATCTTAAAATAAATAAGGCTGAAATTTTAATTACTTTTCTCCTCAATGATTAAGGGAATAAGATGATATTTGATTGAGAGAAAAATTAAAAAGTAGAGATTATGGGAGGAAAATAATTGCTGGCTACTCAGTATTAGGCCATGAAAACAAAGCATCTTTCAGTTGATGATTCTGGCTCATTACAACCCTGAAGAACAGTAGAAGTGCTCTGTAGAGTTTGCATGGTTGTAGTGCTTTACCAGAAAATATGCCCTTCTTTTTTCCTCCAGGGGTGACAAGTGTGTTCAAATCACCAATCTTTTACTGGCTAACAACTGTGCTATCTTGTCTCTTTGCTAGCATACTAGGACATCATGATAGAAAGTATCATAAGTAATTTATTTTCATATAGTGTAAGTATGCATAGTGGTAAGAAGCTGTGTTGTAATTCCAAAGGCAAACACTTTAAATTTGCCAGTTGCTCTGAGGGAGAAAGATGGGCAATTACTTAATCTCATGCAATTAGCTGCCTCTGAAAACCTGCCAAGGGTCCCTTTTGGGTCAGTTCCAACTCTATGGTACACAATAACAACAGCAGTATAAGTGTATGTTGGACTTGAGTTAATGGTGCCTAGCACATAACAACAACAACAACAACAACAGCTATAATACCAATAATTTGTAGAAGGAGTCTGTTCAGTCTTTCTAAATGTTTTTGACCATTTTAATCTATTTCAGTCTAGACATTTATCTACAGTTGGTGATTGAAATGAGGATGCTGCACTAAAGCCACTCTGGAGCTCTAATCCAGTAATGAACATGGACAAGGGTTCCTGTTACTCTGATAACTGTTTCATTTTGTCTTAGTAAATGACAAAGTCATTGTATAGACTAGTCTTTTGTATTCGCATATTTGAGTGGTGATTGCTGGAATTTATAACATTATTAAATATTGTGCCAGGCACATCAGTGCAAATGAAATATATCTGTCCTTTGTGGAATAGGAATGAACCTCCTTCAAGGAAGTCAAATCACCACAATATTTCAGTGAGATGTGAGATACCAGGTTTTTTTAATGCCAGTGGAATTGCCTACATGAGAAAAAAAAATCCTGAAAATATGTGGCATTAGAGATCAGTGAGAGAACACAAAGAGGCAATGAGAGACAGAACTCAAGTTATCTGGGAAACTGGAAAAAATGTCAAGAAGAAAACTATGAATGACTTACAAAAAGAATCACCTGTCTTGCATAATCAAAACTCTTAAGAAATTAATGCCTGCAATGACTGTAGAGATAGAAATTGTGTACAGTAAACTTTTTGACTAATGCAAGGAGATTTCTAGGAAAATGTCAAAAGACAAGGGCACAGAATGATAAGAAAGTCAAGCATGTGGCTGTCAGATCCTTTGTTCAGGCAATGTAAGAATTGTGGCACTGAAGGTGCCCTGGGGGCATAGTACATAGCCTTCTGTGCTGTTGATCAGAGTGTGGTTAAAATCTATTGGCTGCTCTGAGAGGAAGACAGACAATCTCCTCTTGTAGAGGTTTACAGCCTCTGAACCCTGATGGAAAGCTGCCATGGGACAGAATTGATTTGAAGATTGTAGTTAGTAAATAATCCTCTCCAGTGGGCCAAAGGGCTTTCAGAACTTTAAATAATGTCCTTGATCCTCAAAATCCTAATATTCTCAAAATAGATTTCCTCAGCATTCATTTTCTGTGAAGAAGCTAAAGAGAATCGTCTATTACAACAGACCTTGCCTAGAGAAATGAACTGCCTAAGCAGTTGAATTAAGATGAAAATCAGTAAGTTGACTCATTACATTTCTTGATAGCTTCCCAAACTGAGTATTTTCCCTTTTTTTTTTTTAAACAAAACATGGGTATTTTAAAATATATGCACTACTGGCTCAATTAGTATTTTTCAGGATACTTATCTCAATTTTAACATTGTCTTTTCTTCAAAAAATATTTCTCCCATATGACATGCCTGCTGCTTTATTCTCCACACTCAGCAAATGTTCAAATTAATTTCTTTTGAGAAATAATATTCCTTATTTATGTATTAATTTAAAGGTAATCTTTTTATTTTATGGTCTTCTATGCTTTTCATTTGCAGACCAAATTTTATTACCAACTGAGAGAGAAAAAAATTGTGATAATTTTTTTCCCTGTGAGAATATAATTATATAGCAGCATTCACGTTTGTTCTTAGGAAAATGAATTTACTTTTAGGTACAAATTAAATGCTTGAGATAAATATCAAATTATCAGACTGGAATTACTGCTTACTGTCAGCTGAGAAGGCACATTATTTTGAGTCCTGCATTCAAATGTTTGATGAAGCCAATAGATACACACATTCACTTTTTCCAGGCATAGTTGACAAATGGACTGAAGACCTAAATTTCTGAAAAGAATTAAATGATCTTTCTTTTTTTAGGTGTGGTATAATCAGAAGGGTTTTCATTCTCTACCTTCCTACTTAAATCATCTAAACAACTTTATTTTGTGGAGACACTTACCACTTACTGTGGACTGGAGAAAATATGGTAATGTTATTTTTAATGCTTTACAACTAATTTCTTTAAAAAAAACACTGCTTTTGTAAATAAAAGAAGCAGATAAAACTGAGTGGGAATGTGAAGAACAGTGAGGTGGTTTCTACTTAACCAATTTCTACTTAAATCTTAATAGGCTCAGTTTGTCTCTATCTGTATACTACTGGAAGTTTTGACCTTGAAACTCTGACTTCATTCACATGCTGTTACTATGTACTGTGGAGTCAGAATCAACTAATAGATAACCTTCCAATTGGTTTTCAGAGACAATAATACCATAAAAGGATATTTCTCATCTTTCTCCTGTGAAGAACTGGTGGACCTGAACTGTTCACTTTCAGGCTGACAGCACAGCTCCTCACTACTAAATTACCAGAGCTTCTTGTAAGCAAAGGAATATAAAGTGACTTTGCAGTTTTCTATTTTTTTTCTGTTCCATGACCATATTATCTAATAATTTTACTTTAAAAAGATCTATATATATGAAATATTGTTATAAAATTACATATGAGCTTTGAACTATTGTTGAGAAGGTAAAAATCATATTTTAACTTATTCTGGACCCTCATCAATTACGTATATTCGTTATTGATTCTCTATGTGCTCTTTCTTTAGTAAATGAAACACATATTTCTGGAATCCAGAATTAATTTGTTGATTGACAGAAAACTTAACGTGTTTTACTTGAATAACCTAAGTTCTAACTTAATGATTAATTACTTTTCTTAAAAAGTAAATGAACATAATTCACACAGAAATAAATGCAAACTAATCATGCCAATATGCTGTCATGATTCTAACTCTAATTTTTCTATATTTTCTTTTTTTACCCTATTTTCTATCTAAAATGAATTTAATTATGTATGGCACTACAATTATTTTGGAATTATAATAAGCAATTGTTTGAGAGAAATCAACTTAATTTTTGTGACAGTGTAATCATTTGGGAAAATAATGGATTATGTAAAAAATTAAAAATGTATGAGCTAAAAAGAATACAGAAAGAGAATGAATAAAAAAAGAAACTAAACAAAGGGACATTCATTAAGGGTCTGAAATATAACAGAGCTCATTTAATATCATTTAACAGAGATATTTAGCATCCATGTTCTAATTTACATTATATATTCATATTGTAAGGTGACAATACTTATCCATTTCCCTGATTGGGTAACTGGCAATAAATTGTCTACCAGTTGTGGTTCTGAGAAAGTTCAGGAAGAGTGTCATGATTTGGCACTAGGTCTGATTAACAAACAAAACTTTTGCTGTTTCTATTATATCAGTCTTGGAAATCACTTTTGGCAGACATGGATAGAGTGTGATTTATAAAGGGAGTTATTATCATTGAACCTTCAAAAATGGGCAGAAATCTGGCTGAAGTAAGTAAATAATTCAGATTATTAATTATGCAAGAAAATCATAGTGTGTGCTCAGGTTGTATTGAGGAGTTGTATCTCATCATGAAGGTGTAAGTAGAGCAATAATTATAAATCTTTCTGTAAAGATCGCCTGGAACAAAATTCATATCTAACAGGATAAGAAATGCACATTAGAAATAGACAAAAGAGAGCCTTTTCCATTATTTGGAAATAGGAATGATACTATTAAAGTAATACATTAGCTAAGACCATTGGAAGCCATGAAAGTGGAAGGTCAAGTAGCTATCAAGTATCTTGTTAGAAAACTGTCATATACACATTTTAGAGATAACTTGACCAAAGTCAATGATGAACCTAGAGAAAGAAAAAAAATCAGAAATTTAAAAGAACTATTGAGGGACAGGATTCAGGAAGAAGATTGAAAAAAAATTCAAGTAACTTGATGACTAAACATGTATAAAATAGGGAATTTTAAAAACCCAAGATATAAATTTCAAATTTATTGAATGAATAGCATATTGATCAGTACTGATAAACTTATAAGGAATGTATCAGGATGAATAGACATTTTTAGGAAAGAACAAGTTGATTTAGACCAGTTCAGATATTCCTGACTTGGATCATTCATAAAAATAGAATTTCAGTAGGATTCAGAAAACTAGAAAGATGGGTTCCATAGAGCAATATTTTTGTTGCATGAGATTCAGTCAGCCCAAACTCATAGTGATCCTACCTACCGACACCCTCTCCAATTTACTCTCCTTTCAATTCTTAAACCCACTCTTGTAGCCCCTGTGCAAACCCATTTCATTGAATGTCTTTTTCTCCTTTTCTGACCCTACACTTTTCCAAGCTTGATGTCCTCTTCCCAGAACTAGCTGCTCCTAGTAACGTGCTGTATGTGGCATACAGTCTTAATATCTTTGGATCTGTGAAAAATATTTAACTCAAACTTTGATAAAATGATAGAAAGATAGCCAAGATAGCCAAACCAGCCATGGTAGGGGGAAAAACAACAATAACAACAACAACAACAACAACAAAACAAACAACAAAAAACAATGCTGAGGATAGAAGAGAGCAGGAAATATAGAAGGTGTGGCCTATAAGGCAGGAGATAAAAACATAAAAACTTAGAAAGAAAAGAATTTTAAGAGTGGGACAGGATGGTATACCAATTGATATATTTCAACTAACAGATGTGTTCACCAAGTTGTGCCAATAAATCTGGAGAACAACCACTATGCCAACTGACTGGAAGAGATCTATATTTGTTCCCATCCCAAAAAAAGGTGATCCCACAGGGTGTGGATATTATCAAACAATATCATTAATATCACAGATTGCCCAAAAATGACTGGAACAGCACATCAGCAGAGAACTGCCAGAAGTGCAGGCTGGGTTTAAACAGGATCATGGTACTACAGATATAGTAGCTGATGTTAGATGGATCTTGGCTGAAAGCAGAGAGTATCAGAAGAATGTCTAGCTGGTTCATTGATTATGTAAAGGCATTTGACTGTGTGGATCATAACAAAGTGTGGCTGACTCTGAGAAGAATGGGAATCCTAGAACACTTGATCATGCTAATGAGAAACCTATACTTGGACCAGGAGGCAGTCATCAGAACAGAGCAAGGAAACATTGCATGGTTCAAAATTGGGAAGGGTGTACGCCAGGGATGTATCCTATCTCCATGCCTTTTCAATCTTTATGCAGAACAGGTTGTCCAGGCGGCTGGGCTCTATGAGGAGGAATGTGGGGTCAAGATTGGTGGAAGATCTATCAACAATCTGCGTTATGCAGATGACACAACCTTGCTTGCTGACACTCAGGAGAACCTGAATCACTTGCTGTGGAAGGTCAGGGACTGCAGTCTTCAGTATGGATTAAGGCTCAATATCAAGAAAACAAAGATTTTGACCACTAAGTCAATTGACAGCATCATGATGGATGGTGAAGAATTTGAGATTGTTCAGTGTTAGTTTGCTTGGCTCCAGAGTCAACACCAGCAGCCAGGAAATTAAAAGACGTATTGTGATGGGAAATTCTGAGGTTAGAAACCTCTCTAAAGTGCTGTAGAACAATGATGTCAGTCTGGAGGCTAAAGTACACCTGATACATGCCATGGTCTCTGCAATTACTTGCTATAAATCAGAGAGCTGGACAATGACTAGGGAGAATAGGAGCAGAATTGATGCCTTTGAGCTGTGGTGTTGGAAAAGAGTATTGAATATACCTTGTACTTCTAAGAAAACAAACAGGTTTGTCCTGGGGAGGGTGAATCCAGATTGCTCCTTGGAGGCAAGGATTCTGAAGTTTCATCTGACATACTTTGGACATGTTACAAGGAAGGACCAGTCCTTTGAGAGGGACGTCATGCTTGGGAGGGTGGAGAGACAGTGCAGGAGAGGAAGACCCTCGACGAGATGGATTGATTCAGTGACTGGGGTAATGGGGGTAGGTGTGTCAGAAACAGATTGGCAGAGCATAGGGCAGGGTTTAGGGCTATTGTAGATAGGGTTGCTATGAGTTGCAGGTGATGTGATGGCACGTAACAACAACAACATCCCAACGTTATCATAAATGCTGAGAATTGCTGGCCTTGTAAAGATAGATATCAGACTAAAGGAATTAAATTACAGAAAGATTAAAATACTAAACAGATAAACTCTGCTTTCTGAAGCTTGACAGTAAAAAGGAGAAAGAAGGAAAATAGTTTGTGTTTTGTGTATAGGTGTGTTTATGTATATACATGAGAAGAGGGATGGAATGAAGATAGAGCAAACATTCAAAGGAGAAAGAAAAAATTGATGAGTCAATACCTGAAAAGAGTCAGAGAACAAGCCCAAATGGAAAGGCAATTTTTCGACAAAGTAGGCACTGTGTAGTGTGGAAAAAGAATAGTTAATAGGAATTAATGGAGGAAATTTGTGAAACATCTACAGAGGTTATGGAACTTTATGCTGGTTCTATTTTATTTCTGGATAAATGAACAAGCGAATAAATAAATGAATGTTATAAATGGAGCAAGGATATCTACTGAGACTATTAAAACAAAAATAGATACAGAATACTAAAGAAATACTGAACAGTGAGAACATCTAAAATGGAGAATATAGTAAGAAGCGAGAAGACATGCATGAAATTTGAATGAAGATCGATGGGAGACTTAGTTGAGTAGAACATAAATGTTTGATAGACGCAGTCAATGTGTGGCCATAGATTTTTCATGATTTGAAATTAGTATGAATTAGAATGGATAAAGTCTAATGTAAATTGTTGTTGTGTACTGGCAAGTTAGAATCAACTAATAGCTAACCCTCTAGTGGGTTTTCTAAGGCAGTAAATCATGAGGGAGGATATTGCCTACCTATCTTTTCCCCACAGAGCAGTCAGTAGATACGAACTGTGTACCTTTGTACTGATAACACAATTCCTTACTACTAAGGCACCAGAGCTCCATAGACAAAAACTCAAATGTTTCATCACATGTTGAGGACAGAGGGAAAGATATATAATATTAGCATAATCTTCTAGTTGAGGGATAGGAATTATTAGGCAAAATATGATGTGAATGATGAGTACTTTCTGTAACACTGATGGACA